TACTATTTATATTTAATTTTCCTTTTGTATTATTATTATCGTTATTGTAGTTGTTATGTAACTGTTACTAAATCAGGGTTTAATATCACAGTTAAGTAGATAGTTTTGTAGTAAACAGTAACATAAATAATTTTGAATAATAATATGTTATTACTCTTATTATTTTTATTTGAAAAAAAAATATCATAAAAGAAGATAATATTGCATTATTAGTCCAATTAAATAGGCCTTTAAATCGCAATTTTGGGCAACTTGCCTGAATTTTTTTTCAACCCCCGACCAGGGGTGAAAAAGATAAAATAAACGGTTTTTTTTTTAACTCCAAAGGGGTAAGAGCTAGAAAAAGAAGTTTCTTAGAAAAGTTGTAGAACATAAAATTCTACATAAAAATGGTGTATTGACTTTTTCTTGTACTATTAAAATTAACAGAGTTAGGGAGATTAGAAGTTATGGGATGATTTCAGAAATTTAAAAAATCATAACAAGTAGAAAAATGAATGAATTTAAAATTTTTTTTTTCCAATTTACTCTTAACAATATAACCTACCTTTTCAGAGAAATAGATATATTTTTTTATTTTTAATAAAAAAGTTATAACAATTTCACAAAACAAACGTGAATCTGTCAAAACAAAATTTCGTAAGCAACTTTTTTTTATTTTAAATAATCGAAATAATCCATCGAATGGCATAGAAATAAATTGTTTTAGTGTGAAATCATAAAAAATAACGATTAAAAAATGTTATTTGTTTTAACTTTTTTATTAAAAATTAAAAAATCTCTGAACAGAAATTTTACATTTTTTAGAGTAGATTGAAAAAAATGATTATGAAATTCATTCATTTTTTTGCTTCTGATTTTTTTATATTTCTGAAATCATCCCTTGGCAGGAAAAATGACTTCGGATGGAGCAGAGTCGAGCGGGATTATCGCTCTTTACCCACTTCATCGCTGTAGGCCCGGACGCCTCGTAGAGGTAGGCCCTTTCCCCGTCATTCCGGACCGCCAACGCGGCGGGATTGGATCGGTTCGTGGGGCCTCCTCCTGCCCTGGCTGGGCCCCGCCGGCTAGGGCCCTTTCTTCTGGCGCTATTCTTTCTTCGCCGGCTCGTCTGTGTAAACATCCGAGGGTGTCGTGTGACATTTTTCTCTTATTTTCATCCCCTTTTATACAATTTTATCCCCGTAAGGGCCCGTGTAAAATAGAAACTACGCAGTAAATTTTTACTGTTACGTAATCATTTTCGCGAAAAAAATAACGCGTAGTACCCCCGAAAAAGCGTTCTCGCTTCTGATTGGTCGATGTGAGTCGTATAAGTATTCTCCCCCTTATAAAAGCGCTGGTCGCAGCCTCAGCTCGTTCATTCGGCTATCAGCCTTCAGAACTACATCATTATTATATAACTTAAACTAACTTATATCAAAAATTCAGGCAAGTGGACCAAATTGCGATTTAATTGGACTATATTGGACTATTATAGGCTAGTTCAGACACGGCGGAAACCGCACGGAGCTTATTTATGTTACCCTTTTCGTATGTCCGCGCGGATTCCTCTGTATCTAAACTAGTAGCCCTGTAATAATATAGTTTATTCTATGTTTATTACAGTATCTAAATTCAAATGTCTTAGATTGGAATATTGAGTAGGTAATCTAATCAGTAATTGACACATACTCGACACCTCTGTTAAGTGTCATAAATAGTAATATTCTCATGACACAATTTGATACATCTATTTTCAGTCGGAATATTTGAGCACGTAATGATTTATTGAAACGGATTTTACTAGAAAACGACTTATGCTATTAAAATCTGACAAGAGTACCTTTTTATGCAAAATATGATAAATTTTCATAATTTCGGTTCATTAAGTAGACCCATGGTCCCACATTTTCTGACGCCCCTGTAGCAAATTTTGATCTGTATATTATGCTGATTATTAAGTATATAAATAGTAATACAACCCCAAAATTTCGTGATTTAATATTAAACAGTTTTGAAGTTATGCAATAAAAACTGATTCCTGAGTTACCCCTTCAATGGGCTGTATCTCCCTTAGGGGCTGTATCTCCCTTCTCGGCCTATTTTCTTTCTCGGGTCTTGAGAATTCTCGACTAGGAATTCCCAGGAATTCTCGAATTCTCGAGAAATTTCTAAAACTTAAAAAGTCATAATTTTGGTATTGCAATGCGAAATATAAACATACTATTATACTTAACAATCATCATTAACATTTATTACTTATTCAGTATTTTTATTAATTACTTACTTAAGTTTCTACTTCTACTAACAAAACTAAATTAAACTGAGTTTCTTCTTAAAAACCTATAACTTGTTTTTTTATTAAACACTCAATATACTTATGTTTATTTCAATGTTTTTGAATCGTAGTTTTCTTCCAATAATAATTATTAATAGTAAATAACGAATTTAACCGAAGAAATCTTAAAAAAAAACAAGCTTTAATTTAAAGATACAGAAACGTTCTTCCTATTAATTTATCACTTCAACATTAGGTATCTGCATATAATAAAATTTCTACACAGTCTTATAACTAGGTACAGGATGATTCAATATATTTTAACCCCCTTTAGCTTTTTTGTTTTAAGAGTTATAAAAAATGTGAGATACAAAAGTTGCACGATTTTTTATGAAATGTCCGAATATGATAGTAGAAAAACAAATGAAGTTCAAACAAAATGGCCGCGGATGTTAACTTTGTTAATTTAAATGGAACACCCTGTATATTTTTACACATTTAGATAGAACGTTCCCTGTCGAGCACAGTCATATATGGTTTGTGGGGTCCATCTCTAACAATAAGCGAGATAATATTAAAAAACGAAAAGAACGTTTTTTATTAAGAAAATAAAATATTTTGTAATTGTTGGACGTTTTTCGGGCATTTCTGCCTTTTTTTTACGTAAGGATTTAGATTTATTTGCAATATATTTTGACATATCGAACATTGATATAGTCCAAAATGGGTATAAGTATTTTAACTAAATCCGTCCGTGAGGGGCTTATTTACTCATGGACAATGATATATGATAGGCCGTGACAGTGACAGGTAATATTATGACAACATTGTTATTGTTTGACAGTTTGTATTATTATTTATTTAAAATGGGTTACACAGAAGTAGAAAATTTAAATATTATAGGAATTAAGATAGAGTAGTTAAGATACTCTCCATAGTTTATTTTAATTCCTGTCTTATTTTCTTAATAAAAAAAAAACATCATTTCGTTTTTTAATATTATCTCGCCTATTATTAGAGATGGACCCAACAAACCCTATATGACGATGCTCGACAAGGAACTTTATATCCAAATATGTAAAAATATACAGGGTGTTCCATTTAAATTAACAAAGTTAACATCCGCGGCCATTTTGTTTGAACTTCATTTGTTTTTCTATCACTTTCGAAAACTTATAACTCTTAAAACAAAAAAGTTAAAGGGGGGGGTCAAAATATAGTGAATCACCCTGTACATTAAAAAAATCATCAAAGTAAACTAAAGCCTTAAAAACTTAAGTAAATCATGAGCTGGTAGAGAAACCACTTTAACCGCTCAGTTATTTGTCGAGAAACGAATTGAACGCATGAACTCCAGTCAAGAACTTAAGACGCGCGTGATTTTTAAATTTCTCTATTTCTCGATTTCTCGACACTTTTTTCCCGTCTCGAGTAAGGCCAGATTTCCCGGGAATTCTCGCTTCGAGAAGTCTCGACGAGAAACCCTACTCGGCATTCGCTGTGCTGCGCGGTGCTTTTCCCGCTGCACAGTGGGCGAAAACGCACAAAATTCCATGTGAGGTAGTAAAAGTTGTCCAAATTGGCACATACTTCTTTTAAATACTCTATCTTAAATACTCTGATAAACTACAATCGATATTTAGCGAATATAAAAAAGTAAGGTATAAATCTTAAAACCAGTTAATTGTAAAACCTTCAACCACAAATATCGCAAGTTAAGATCTTAGATATCGCACTTGTCGCAGTAATATAAGAAAGCGGACATAATTACGAGTATTTTAAAAAATATATACAGGGGGAGTCTTATATAAAGTTTTTATCTGGGACACTTCATTAAAAAGATACAGGGTGTTCAACTTTTAAACAAATTTGGCACATGTATGTATGTAAACATTATCCAAAATCTGGGCCTTTTCCTAAAATTTAGATGCTACGGTGGCGCAAATACAGGTGGGATATTTTTCTAAATAAATTAGTACGTCACTGCTTTACGGTAACAATCATGATATCGTCTTCCAATTTTCTACAATTTTTATGTTTTTCGAAAGAAGCTTGATTTTCGATTAAAGCTTTTAAAAAATTACGAGTATTTTAAGTGGTTAATAAAGAAATTTACTCAATTCACAGCACTTTGACACGTAATGTTAAACAAATCCCTAGTTACACCATAGCGTTGTTTTTAATACCAAAAAATAAATACAGACTTACATCTCATTGAAAAATTACGTTTAAATCGAAATCGGTCTACTTTTTTTACTTTAAAGAAGTAAGTATACCTACCTTTTTAGGTGAAATTGAAGAATGTACATACAGGTTTGACAGAAAAGTTATGTTGCTGTAAGTGGGGTCATCTAGCGGCAATGGTGAAATTGATTCCATTTTCGTATTACGCGTGCTGAGTAATAACACGATACCAAATTTCATTGAAATCCGTTGAACAGCTTTCAAGATATCAAAAAATAAATTGAAAGAAAGTTAATGAAACACCCTGTAGAACGAAAGCGAGTAACATTTTGCTAAGGCATGTTGGGCCCAAACGCTTTATTTTGATGCCCGCTATGATCCCTTAGCTAATGTCCAATTAAATATGGGACACTGAATATTTTGACCAGTTATCACATTTTGGTTCCAAGATTATCTAGCAGGATTTGTATATGTATAATAACTCTTGTGGGCAGAATTTTTGTTAAAATAAGAAGACCGTACTTATAAAGTGATTCAATTATGTACATTTTCGCAGGACATTGTTTATTTTATGGTCAGTTTTATGACCATGGTGAGTTAGTGACGATAAAGAAGTGTGTGGAGTGTCAGTGTCACGATGGCAGTATGAAGTGTAGTAGAACTAATCCAGAAACAAATTGTCCTAAATTAGCATGTCCACTAGATCAGCAGTTCAGTGTTCCTGATCATTGCTGCAAATTTTGCCCAGGTATTTAACAAATTTACTGTATTTTGCATGCTAGGATACTGATTTTTTTTGCTTATAAATTTGTCACGCATTAGATTTGATCGTAACTTCGTTGTTTTGAAGGTATTGGCATTTCAAAAATATAGATACCAACTCTTTTTTTTTGTACGTCTTCTACATATTCTGTCTTATTCTATCATATTCTGTATTTCTTAAGATTGATCGAATTGAAGGTTTGATTTCTTAAATATTATTATTGATATAACTAGAGCGCAATGCTTTTAGAGAAATATTGATTGCCTTTGCTTATTATCTAGCAACTAACAATAATATCTTTTTGTACATTAATATACAGGGTGTTTCAGGATTAAGTCGACAAACTTTAAGGAGATATTCCTCATAAAAAAAATAAGAATAAGATGAAGTATAAATTTTTTTCCAGAGACGCTTCATTTTCGAAATATAGGGCGTTAAAGATTTTTTAAAAAATTCTAATTTTTTAAATAACTTCTAAATGAAGAAGGCTATTTAAGCCAAACTTGGCATGACACATCTGCTTATAAGATACCATTTTTCCATAGAAGTAGAAGTCCCGCAAGCAACCAGTGGCGGAGTTATGGGGACTCAGACTCATTAAATTATAAAAAAAATAATACGGCCCTACTGAAAATAAAAAATTATGCTGTTTTTAGATAGAACAGTTTGTCATTGACAATAAGTGTACTTTTTTTCCTAACTCTTATAGTTTGATAGCAAATTTGATTTTTCGGAAGGGTGCTTCTGGTATCTTATAAGAAGATGTGTCATGCCAAATTTGGCTTAAATAGCCTTCTTCATTTAGAAGTTATTTAAAAAAAAATAGAATTTTTTAAAAATGTTTAACGCCGTATATTTCGAAAATGAAGCGACTCTGGAAAAAATTTTATACTTGATTTTTTTCTTTGTTTTTTTATGAGGAATATCTCCTTAAAGTTTGTCGACTTAATCCTGAAACACCCTCTATAAAATTATAGACTTATCAAACCTTAACGATCTGTAATCCTGAGAAGGTGTTTTAACATATGTAAAAATATAATGGGTGTTCAACATAAAATTCCTCAGTATCTCTGCAACGGAAAGATATATTTTGATTTTGAAGAAACATGATAGAGCTCATCGATGGCTTGGTCAAGGAGTGCAACTTGATTTTTTTCAGAGCAAATTGGAGATGATTCTGAAGTCGAAAGAAATTTTTCGTTGGCAGGAACTTTGTAACAAAGTTTATCCGATACTTTGTTCACTTCTAACCAATTTTTGTTAAATGACTATTTTTCAAAAACTTAATAGATATATCGGACTCTTCAGTCGGTGAGACTGGAACGGCTGAAAAGACGGAAAAATTAATAGATCTTGTGCGGGAATGTGTTTTTTTATATCATGTTCGTCATCCTGATTATCTTTTTTTCATTCATTTCATGCATCCATTTTCGTCTTGCTTGACTCAAAGCGAATAGAAGAAGTAATTCTTCTTCGTCAGAAGAACTGCTGGACATGTTCAATTGAGAACAACAAAAGAAAATACGAATTCAAGAAAGAATGTATTGGAGAAAACAATACCCACTCTTGACAACGACTCTTTTCATACTTGTTCGCCTTAATTTGTCTGCATTCTGTCTGACCACTCTATTCCGCGGCGGACTGCGGTCATTCCGTCCACGTGGACAGTCCGCCTCCTATTTGACCGAACCCTTAAAGATCCAATTATTACCTTACACAATGGAACAATAATAATTATCCAAGTCAATTTAACAGTTTTTAATTATTTCTGTAAAATATGGCAAGAGTTTTTTAAATACCTTATTCTTTTTGCATAATAATTCATAATTATTTGTAGGCTTGTCCTAAAATAAATCCTGAATGTCTCATGAATGTCTGAATGTATTATGGCCTAGCAAGCAATGCAAAATTAGTAAGCGGAATGCGGTAAGCGGTAAGCGATAGCAATAACCAGCGAAGAAAGCCCAAGCGGTGCAAGGCGGAAAGATAGGATGGTGAAACGGGATCCGAAGTATCTCGCTTTACAATTCGTACTAGCCTTTAAGCTTTATACGGTATCGCGGTAGGCTTTGAAAAGAGGAAACAAAATGTTTCCTCAGATCAGAAAAATCATCCCCAGATCATTTTTAAAGTTGAAGAGAAATATTTTGCAGTATGAAAGTTTTAATATCAATAAACGTAAACGTTTAAGTAATGTGACAAATGATCTAAAAACAGCGGAAGTTTTACAACATGTGGAAAATAATCCTCAAACTTGAATTAGAAATATTTCAGAGGCAACTAACATCAATTACGTCATGTCATAGCATACTGTCCAGAAACAAATTCAATCCATACGAGAAACATATTATTAACCATTTACGACTTGATAATCCCGAAAGATATCTCGTTTCTCAGTTTCTCAGTTTTTCCAAGACGACAATAGTATCCTTAAAAAATATTATTGGAAGTCGATTTCATAATAATGGTCTCATCAATAGACACAACTGTCATTATTGATCCGGCAATAATCCGAGATAGACAAAAGAAACTGACAATCGAAATAAATCTGGAATAAATGTGTGGTGTGGCATATTAGATGGATATCTCATTGGTCCTCTTTTCTTTGAGGGACAATTAGCTAGCGCACGGTATTTAAATTTTTTACAAAACGACATTTTATATTTATCAGAAGATATTCCTGTGGCAACGAGACGCAATATTTGGCGCCCAATATTTGGCTGCCCATAATCTACAGGTAGTTACAGAGTACTTGAACAGATCCTACCCTAGAAGATGGATTGGTATAAATGGGTCAATTAGATTACATTTTTTTCTATGGGGGATATTAAAAGATATACTGAGCCAATAGAAGATATGACGGACGAATAAATAAGATTTGTGCTAGCTGTACAGCGATCAGGAGCTACGGCGTCGCTGTAGCTGTGAAATGTGTATTTGAGAAAATGGAAACGTATTTGAACATTTGTTATAGTTCAACGTTTTTTAATTAGCACGTTTTTTATTTCACTATTCCTTAAAAAAACTGTTAAATTGACTTGGATAATTATTGTTTCATTGTTTAAAATAATAATACGAAACTTTAAAATACGCTTGAGTTTGGGCCTCACTGACTGAACAGCCCGATATCTCTGAAACTATAAAGTTTTTGAAAAATAGTTATTTGATAAAAATTCTTTAGACTTTAACAAAGTATCGGATAAACCTTGTTCCTGCCAACGAAAAATTTCTTTCGACTTCATATCAGCGCTATCTTCAATTTGCACTTCTTGACGAAGCCATCGATGAGCTCTATTATATGTTTTTTTTCACAATCAAAATATCTCTTTCCGTTGCCGATATACAAGGCTGAGGACTTTTATATGGAACACCCAGTATATGACGTTTCATAAGACAACCTAAGTTGGTATCTGGAATGCAATGCTCAATTGTTTGTAGTTTTAAGTCTTTCACGGCACACTGCTGATATTTAAAGTACGATGATTTTTCTGGTTGTTATGTCGTGGCCTACGTACTACCTACCTGTTACCACCAGTTACAGAATTACATTGCACTATCTTAGCAATCTTTGACCTCCATTCGTTGTTTTCGGGCTGGGCTCTGTAGGGGCAGGCCCGCTATCAGAACACTTAGGTGTTCATTTTGACTGTTGTTGGTTTTTAAAACTACTATGGATGGAACAGCTCTTCAGATAATGGTAACTGACGTTCCGTAGTGACCTCTGTAACTGGTTTCATACAAGTTAGACAAAATTTGTTATTTGTTTATATCATTAAACTAAGATCGAAAAAAGATCTTTTTTCTATTTTCCACTCTTTATGCCGAAGTTTACCTTTCTTAACGGTTACATAAAGAAAATTTTAAAAAGTATAGAACATGTCATAATTTGGAATCTATTATATAAGATAGTACTCAAATAACACTTATACAAGATACAAAGCATTCGCAAACACACATTGACTTGCTCCAAGGCTTCAGAAAGTAAATCAGAACAAATTAAAGAAAGGGTTTTGAATGGAAGCATAACAAAAATTGCTCTGCGATAAAGAAGCGTATTTTATTACGTTTTTGTAAGGCAATAATGTTAAAGCGATCTTATCCTTTAAAGTTACTGTCCCCAGCAATTTCAGATTTCTTTTGAACATTTTAAAATCTTAAGATTAATTTTATGGGCTTATATCTTGAAAAACAGTAGAGCTTCAACAGCTTTTAATTCTAAGTAGTTTAGACATTGAACCTTCTAAAAATACGCAGAAAAAGATTAATAAACCACATATTTAACGTGTTTAATGGCCAACTAAACAACCTTGAACACTTTGAAATTCCTCTTTTCAAATGAATCTCCAGTATATATTCAGTAGTCCGATTCACAGTTAAATTCTGAATTAAACATTTATTCCCTTATACCTACCTATTTTCCGAGATATCCGAGTTACTCATAGAGTAACATAGAGTATAGTATCTCATAGAAATGAGAAAAAATACTTTTATTTTTGTAAATAGTTTAGAATAAATAAAAATATTTTAGTCAGTGGACAGCATTTTTACATTGCTGTAGCAGAAAACGTTTATTGTTTTTTATTTTATTCTCATTTTCAGATCTATTAATTTTTTCAATTGGAGCACCTTGTATATTATTAAATTTTTTAATTAAACAAGTATTGTATCAATAGCTGTTTTACATTGACAATTTATTGATGAATTAATTCATGAAGTCGCTTCATCAAGAAATTGGACAAGTGTAATGCACCAAATCTGCTGTCAAATAACTTCATGAATTGATTCATCAAGTTATTGACGAATTAGAACATGTTCTAATTTTCGTCAATTTCTTCGTGAAGTAATGATGAGGTTATGTTATTGGGATATGTAAATAATTGTGTGGCGTCGTACTAGTTTTGTATTGTTTTTACCGATTTGTTACTTGCGAAAACTAATATTTATATAATTTATGTCAAAACGATACCGCTGTTGTATCACTACAA